AAAATAATTTATATGTGATTTACTCATTCTTAAACCATTTTATTTTGAAATATTTAACTTTATATGCCTCATAATAGTAAAAATTAGAGAAATATCTCTTTTATTTGTTTGGGAATTATTAGTAGAATTCAAGATGGATGGTGGAAGTGGAGGAATGCATTGGGCCTGCTGTGTGATATAATATAGTACCTCTCAAACTTAACAAAATATTCTATAAGATGATGGTGAGACCCATAATGCTTTATTGCACTGAATGTTGGCCATTAAAAGAGAAACATACAATTAAGTTAAGTGTTGTGGAGATGAGGATACTCAAGTGGATGAATGTCTTCGCTCTTAGAGATATAATGTAAACCAAGTATATACATGAAAAAGTTGGAGTAGCTCTAGTGGTAGATCAGATTAAAAAGAGTCTCCTTAGATGGTTTGATCACAAAAAATGCCAGCCTTCTGATGACTAGGTTAGAAGAGTAAATATATTAGATTGGGCATATATTAAGAAATGTATGTTAGGCTCCAAGACCTAAATTCGAATAATAGTATCTTTTTACCTTTTAATCATTTTTACAAGAGCTCCTACAAAATCATCATAATAATTTAGTCTGATGAAATAATTAAAAATCATATACATCAAAATCATTCATTATATTCATTCATCAAAATTTAATTTATAATAGTCATGAGGTCAACAATATCGATTTATCACAAAGCTCTTGACTATAAAAGAATAAACAAAATATATAAAACAAAAGAAGAATATGAAAATCTCAAACAACCTCACTCGACTCCATAGTGTTTGAACTTCTTCACTGATCTAAAATAAGTAAAATCTACATAATGAACCTATAAAACCCAATAGAAACCCAAAATCACCAAAGCCTTGAATACAAGATCTTCTGAATCACAATGCATGATCATCTCACGCAATAACATCAATAGTATTCAAAAAAATCAATGACCAGTCTCTAAAATATAAATCAATATGATCAGTAAGAGAGAATAAATAAAATAGAAATTAGAATTGTTGCACTAAAATGCATAAACCGACAAGTAAATACATTGATGGTGTATTCAGTTATTTTATTTAATTCATGAAAGTAAATTGGTCATATCAATATATTATGTATTTGTAAAGATGTTATATGTCTGCTATGTAGGTAAATCAAATCTATGCAATTATGGATGTTGTATCAATTAAACTCCATACGTATAAGTATGAGTATGTGATATGTGAATCTGTCATTCATTGTATCTATTTTCCTGGTCTGTGTTTTTGCTTCGGAAAAAATGCAAAGCAATTGAAATTGTAATTTCTTTGAGAAAATTTGAAATTTTATAGGCTTTTGAATTTTTTTTAGTTTTATATCCAAACTCATCATTATGAATAATATATTATCTTGGAAGGTGACAATATCATTTTTTAATAGGTTTAAATTATGAAACTATAACTCTCATCCTAATTATCATAGTCAAAATCAAGAAGGAATTATACATGACCCTGGAGGGTCAAAATGGTGTTTGATTGAGTATTTAGCTATGATAATTAGATGTATTGTCATTAATTCATAATCAAAATCATAATAGTAAATGATATATCTTCCCAAAGAAAGAAAATATCGTTTATTATCAATCATTTAAATATGATGATAATGATCGTCTTTGATTTTGATTTTTCAAAGAGAATTAATTAATTTTTAAATCAATCTAGGGTCTTAAATCTCTTATAAAGGTAAGCCTTCTAGTTAATTACATCATAGGAAGTATGTGCTTCCTACGAACACTTCTAATTAAAATAATGGTATAAAGTTTATTTTTGAAATTCCAAGGATTGACATCAAATGAATGATATTGGAATTCCAAATGGGTTTGGATCAAATTTTGAAAACTTATTTTTGAAAGATAATGGAGGAATGGTAGGACGTGTCTTGGGATTCTGAAACAATTTAGAAACACCCCTATCTATTCTATATATTTGGATTTATATTTTTAATTTAGGAAAAAAAATTAATTTGGATTGGCAATTAATTAGAATGTTGGGATTATATTTTTGAAATTGGGGACTTATGATTTTGTGTACGCCATAGATCCTAAATCTAATTTGGGCACTATACTATAATAGCCCGAACCTAGCTATAAGGTATGCAAATATGGACTTATCATGGCTTGGATTTAGGAGCCAGCTAACAACGTAACGCTTTAAAATCATGAGTCTGGTCTTTATGAAGATGAGTAAAGTTATTGTTTAAGTTTTGAGAAATTAGGACCGACATCTTGAGAATTTTCTAATCGGCCCTTTTGCTTATAGATAATTATACTCGAATGAAATTAAAATTTTATTAATTTAATTATTTTTAATGCAATATATGCTGATTGACCTTGTATGTATAAATCATATGAAAGAATTTAAAATTTTGGCATAGATAATAATTTTTTTTCCAAGAGATTACACAACATTTCTTAGATAGAGCTGCACCTTAAGAGGCCAGATGGTCTGCCATAACTCATAGGTAGGGAGATGTTTAATAAAGAAGTGAAGTTATAATATGTATGCATGAGACTGTTAGCATGCATGAGCTTACTTCTTAAGATCAATTTTCTTTTATGTCGGCCAAAAATTTTTATTTAGTTATGAATAAAAAAATATCTTTAAAGAGCTCCTAATACATCCAGGCTAAAACAAAATCGACATGCAAGAAAGAAGCCTATGAAGATTTATGAAACTCCTAATGAGCAAAAGTAAATACAGCAACCAAATAACATAATCAAAATATATCACATAAATGTACAAGTCCATGTGATAAATACTACTTAATTACAAACTGGGGTCTGCAAAAATTAAAAGTGGTTGAGTACCACTGATAACAACCTAAATTCTAATCCTAAAGAGGATATAAATAATTTTAAAATGAGGTATTTTTGAAGTCCTCGTTTCTTTGTATTCCTCCTATCTACGAGCTCCATATATTCGACTTGTCCAAGTACTCAAATGAAAAGAACTCCTCCCTGAAGGGGTGTTTCTTTCCTCTTTGAATTTTCAAATCATCCTATTTTAAATCTCAAAATGAAAAGAACTCTCCCCTAAGAGATGTTTCCCTTCTCTCTAAACTTCAAATTGTATGAATAATATCCTATTTAAAATTAACTTTCACAACTTAAAATTGAATTCAAATTACATATGAAAAATTAAAAGACTCTAAAATAACTTGCATGCATGTTTATCCTAAGTAGTTATAATCAAAATCATCAACATAAACCCAAGTAGTTATATAATTTTATTTACTCATATTTGAACAATCAAAATCACTTTGCCATACTTCTTTTATACTTAAGAGGCTTAGCAATTTTTAGCACCTGTAAAAAAAATATTAATTAAATTTTAATTTAGCCCTATTTTTTGTAGCCTTACATGACTATGGCTACCTATAAAAAAATTTGTTAACATCCATATCATTCTTAACCTATGATAAATCTAAATCCCATCACATAAATACATAGAAAACATAATAAAATTAGCACATCAATAGACATCATATCAATCAATTTATTATAACCAGTATATAGTAAAATCCACAAAAAATCTTGACATACAAGTATCATAAAAAGAAAGAACAACGGTCTAGCCTAAAACTAGAAGTGGTAGTCCTAACAAATCATCTAAGTGTGTGCATCAGGTTGTATGGCTTGGTTGTGTTCTATATTGAATAGTTGTTGAAGTTTTCTAGTGGTTTTTATTTGTTATGGGTCAAAGAAGATTTAATTCAAGTTAAAATATTAGTGACTTGATGTTCATTTTAAAATGAGTTTTAATTATTGAGTGATTACTACCTTTGTTTATACCAGGGCTGTAAAATTTATTTTACCTTTCTTAGTGCTAAGTTAATAACATTTTAGGCCCTGGTTATCCAATAGTAACCAATATTATTTAATTGATTTAATTGGTTTAAATTAAGAATTAATAATTTTTAAGTTAATTATTTAATGATTTAACTCATTAGATTAATATTTTTTTTATTTGTTATCAATCGATTAGTGGCATTGTTACAACGGGCTCGAGGAACCAGACCCCCTTAGGACATGTAGTCCAGCAGCTCGAGATAGTCCATCATAAAAATTTGATTGATGTAGTTGTATTAATGATTTAACTTTGTTTAACTAATTAATGATAAGTTGATTTTATAGTTTTGCACTGCATTGAATTCATTTTTGGTGTTATCACAACAGGCTTGAGGAACCAGGCCTCCTTAGAATATATAGCTCAATAACTCAAGGTGATCCATCCTAAAAACTTCATCATTAGAGTATTTTTATGTATTTTGAGATTGGCTATCTAATTTTATTGATTGGATTAATATTTGTTGGAATTTTGACCATTTGTTTAATTTATAAATTTTATGAATTATTTTAATTTATAAAAAGAATGGTTTAATTTTTTTTACTTTTTAATTTAGATTGAATTATAGAGTTTTAATATTTTTTTATAAATACAAGATCCTAAATTGAGTAAAATGACACTAAGTTTGTTGGATTTAAATTTTTCTAAAATTAGTTATAATTTTTTAAAGTTTGGATGTATTTTTTAACTATGATTTTTTTTTTTTGTGTTTTTGAACTATGGTTGACCAAACAGTTATGCGTCGGCAAAGATAAATGGTAATCGTATAAGACAAGTTAAAGATGCCAACAACAATTTGATAGAAGAGGATGATCAAATAGAGAAAGTATTCTTACAATTTTTTGAAGAAAAATGAAAATTCAGGGAATATACACTATCGGATTGGCCTACAATTACAGAAAATCAAATGTTGAAGGATGAGGATGTTAATTTGCTGGCTACAAGTTTTTCTATGGAAGAGCTGCGAATTTCGATTTTCCAACAGGGAAGCAAATAGTCCCCAAGTATGGATGGAGTCACTTCTTCATTTTACAAATGTTATTGGACTATTGTTTATAAAGCTCTTTGGAATGCTGTCAAAAAATTCTTAATTTCTGGACATATGAACATGGAATGGAAGAATACACTTATTGTGTTGATTTCTAAAGTTAAGAATCCTTTAGTTCCATCCAACTATAGGCCAATTAGTCTTTGCCAGACTAATTATAAGATCGTTGCTTCTATGCTAGTTAATAGATTAAAGAAGTGCATTTCCACAATGATTTCAGAAGAACAAATGGCATTTATTCCTGATAGATCTATTTCAGAGCATTGTTTGTTGGCTCATGAAGTCTTTCACAAATTTAAAATTTCTAAGAACAAGAAAGGGTTGATGGCTATTAAGTTGGACATGAAGCAGACGTATGATAGTATGGGTTGGCCGACGCTTTGTCAAATACTTAAATGGTATGGTTTTCCCACCTTTTTTTCTAATGTTCTCATGGAGTGTGTTGTGAATGTAAGGTTTTCTATCATCATCAATGGGAAGAACTCTAAGTGGATCATTGCTCAAAGTGGATTTCGCTAAGGATGTCCACTGTCACCTTATCTTTTCATCACGTGTTCTCAACTTATTTCAAGTTCTTTGAAACAAAGGGGGCAGGTTCTCGGTATCCGTGTCTCTCATGGTGTTCCTAAGATCACACATCTTCTTTATGCAGATGACGTACTAGTTTTCTCTCAGGTTTCATTGGCCATTGCTAAAGCCTTAAAGGTTATTGTTGAGGACTTTTGTAAGTGGACGGGACAGAGAATTAATGCTAGTAAATCTCAGATTTTATATGGTAAAGCTGTTAGACACCATTTGAAGAAGAAGATTGCTAGAGTGATTGGCTTCAAAGTTGTGAAAGAAATGAGTTATTTGGGTGTGAGGATTTATCTTAACTTGTTAAGGATGGCAGATTTCCAAGAATTGTTGAGCCAGGTTATGGAAAGACTTAATACTTGGGGGAAGAAGTCTTTGCCAATGGGAGGTAAACTCACTCTTATTGAAACTTCTCTTTCATCAATGCCGAACTTTTTAATGACACATTCTTTGATCCCAAAAAGAATGTTATATGAGTTGGAAAAACTTTGTAGAGGCTTTATATGGCATAAACCTGATGGGAAGAGGAGTATGCATTATGTTGCTTGGGGGGGAGATATGTAAACCAAGAGATATCGGGGGGCTGGGAGTGCATTCTCCTATGCTTAGAATTGGTTCTCTCAGAGCAAGACTGACGTGTAATTACCTACATAAGCCAGAATCTCTGTTTCATAGAACCGTCAGGGCCAAGTATGGAACTGATGTGATGAATGGTTCACACATGAAGACCAGCTCTAGTGCGTGGAAGATTCTACTGGATGGTGGAAGGAATTTGAGAAATGTTGTAAAGTGGAAGGTGGGAAATGATTGTAAGATAAATGTACTTAAAGATGTATGGTTGCTAGACAAATGTATGGATATGTGGCCTACATTTGCGAATTGTGCTGCATTGGAAGATATGATTGTACAACATCTTATATCAGATGGCAGCTGGAACTATGATTTGCTTCAGCAGTTGTTCCATACAGATCTTGTTTTATTAATTAGTCAAATTCAAATTGATTCTAATAGGGTGGAGGATCAGTTGGAATTGCTAAGTATGTTTTCGGGTAAAACAATTTCAGCCTTGTCATACGAGAACTTGATGAAGTATAGATATCCTGATGATGATGATGGATATGGTAATGGGCTTAAGAAGTTGAAACTCAATAAGAAGGTGGAGATTTCCTGGTGGAGGCTTAGCAAATCTGCGATTCCCACCAATTACTTTCTTAAATACCGCAGAATTTCCTTTAATGACCAGTGTGCTAGAGGATGTCAGATGTTTGAGGACTATGAGCATATCATGGTTATGTGTAGATATTTTGTTGATACTATTGTGAAATTGCGTGATTGGGGTATTCATATTCCTATTTTTCAGTAGTTGGAGGAGTGTTTACAGAAGCTTAGGAGATTAACAAAGAAGAACTCTAGAATTGTTAGAATTTGATGCACCATTTTGTATCTTAATTGGAAGAACGGGAATGAAGTTAAACATGGTAAGTCTGCTTTACCATGTTTGTTAGTAGCTACAAATGCTCTATCTTTGGCCATGTATAAGTCTAGTCCATATCTAGATTGTTGGGGTACTAATCTCCTTCGGGAGTCTTCAAAAGCTTGGTGCCCTCCACCGATAGATTAGATTAAGATCAACGTGGATACTTCATTGCTCAGTTCAAATATTGCTAGAATCGGAGGAGTCTTCAGAGATCATAAAGGTAGGTTTATTCTTGCATTTGGGAAGAGTAAGATTCACTGGGATATAGCTCAGTTAGAGCTGGAGGCGGTATGTACAGTGAGACACTTCATTCGGAGATGGATGCTTGAGTGTAAAGGAGTGATTATTAAGTGTGACAACATCAGCATTATTACATTCATTCAAAATTTGTTAAAGAAGGAATTTTGGCATGTGGATAGGTGGCCGGTTAAAGAGCTATACTTATTGGATGATTTCAATAAAGTGATATTTCTTCACATTCCTAGAAGTTGTAATAAAGTAGCTAATTATTGTGCTACTATGGCTTTAGATAAGAGTTTTACTTTTGATAGCTTTTCTTTTGATAACATTCCATCCTTGTTGTTGAAATTAATCAAGGACGAATGTGATCATACTAGCAATTATAATTAGTTCCTTTTTCTATTCTTAATGCAATTTGGTGCATCTTAAAAAAAAAAAAAGACCAAACAGTTAGCTTTTTAATTTTTAGTGACTTCTAGAAGTTTGATATTTATACTCTAAAAGAAGTCCAATAACTTTGAGTTTGCTCATTTTAGAGTTTTCTGAAAATTAGTTACGAATTTTTTAGGTTTATTATTTAATTGAATTATTTAATTACTGAAAGTGTGTTTTTAACAAAAGTTGACCCATTAAGCCCATGTGAGCCTAATTCAAATCCAAATCATTCCATGACTCCTTTGGCTCAACCCCTCTATCTCTTTGACCCAATTGACCAAGTTGACCATGTCAATCTTTGACTTGGTCAACCCAAGTCTTATTGGGTCAAATTTGGCTTATTTGATACAAATTAAACCTATTAAATGTCTCGAATGCTTTCATAATGATCCCTAATGCAAACCAAGGCCAAATAACTTGGTTTTCCCTCCTAATCAACCCTAGATTCAATCTAGGCTGTCCATGTTGAGCCTTGGACTTTAAATAAAGTGTTTAGGGCATCCTAGAGGGGATTTTTGCATCATATTCTCTCCAAGCCCAAGTTTTGGTGTGTGTGAGCTCACTTGACCTCTCCCCACTTTTCCCAAGCCAAACCCATCGACTTACACTCGTCGGCAGTGAGATCTCCGGCAAACCGAGGCCATTTACCTTCCAAGATAAATTTTAGTTGATCTAGAGCTTTTTATAATATGATTTCTTCTATAAATAGGAGCGTGGATTGTCTACAAGTGCAATAAGCCAAGATCACCTGAATCCACGATGTGGATTAGGTAAAAAGCTCAACCCTAGGTTAATTTACACTTAGAGTATTTTAGCTTTTCGAAGAGCTCATTTTAAGATGCTATTTTGACAACCCATTAATGTTCTTAAATCATAAATTGTATGTTTAAAATTTCATTAATTGACCAAACCATTTTGGAGAATGAGACAAATAATCGTTTCTAGGATTTAGTCCGTAACGTATATGGTGTGCACAGTTTTTGGGCTATTGATCGCTCGATCAACTATCCCTGTTTAGCCATCTCGCGGTGGGTCTCTTGGTCTGGCAAGATCTCAACCATTGATTCAAATTAAAACATCACTCAATCCAACGGTTATTACGCCTCGCTGACACGGATAAGTAAAACCGCGTGGACTTATCCAACAGACCCTATTTTGCCGCACATTATTGCCAATATCAGTCGCAGTTTCATCTGCTAATCAGAGCTTGCCACATATGCCGCTGCCGCCGATTTCGTTTAATTAATTTTAATTAGTTTTTTTTTTTAATTATTTTTTTATCAGAAACCTTTAAAAAATTGCTATAAATTATTTTTAAATAAAAAAATTGTGTAATTTATATTAAATTTTTTAGAAAATACTCCTCTTTAACAAAAATAAAATTGATTTAAAATATTAAGTATGTTTTATAATTATTTTTATTATCAAGTATTTAATACTTTTAAGTAATAATTAATTATAAATAATTAAAAAATTCTAAAAAAAATTAAAGTCTTATTTTAAAATAATATTTTATGATTTCAAACGATTTTTAAATTATTTTAACTTAAAACTTGATTTAATATTTAATTATTTTTAAATAACTACTATATATTATTATATATTTAGTAATACTTTTTATTAATTAGTTATTTTTAAATAATAGTTATAAATACTAAAAAAAAATATGTCTTTTGTTTTAATTTGTAATAAGAATATTATTTTAAATATTTAATTTTTAAATTTTGGTTTAAAATTTTAATTTTAAGTACTTTTATTATTTAAATAATTAAATACTTAACTATTTTTATTAATAATAATTAAATCTAATTTTAAAGTATTTCTTTAAATAATTATGTTATTATTATTGAAATATATTTTAAAAAATCAAAAGCTTTAATATTTATTTTGATTGGATTTAGTAATTATTTTTAATACTTTATTATTTTTTAAATTATTTAAAATCTTTTAATTACTTTAAACTTCAATAATTCATAACTAAGGCATTTTAAATTAGATATTTTTGCATAATACCTCATATTTCAAAAAAATATGTATTTAAATTTAAAATTTTTTTAGGTAATAAAAAGTATTTTATTTATTTATTTATTTATATTTAAATAATTATTTACTTAATTACTATTTAAATAATTAAAATATTAATTATTTTTAAATTAAAAATTATTTGAAATTATTTTGAATCCTAACTTTGATGACCCGTGGATCTTCCATGAGTATGAATATAAAACTATGTTTTAATTATTCTATTTTTAAACTATATATATATATATATATAATATATATATATTATATATATATAATATATATATATATATATTATATATATATATATATATATATATATATTATATATAATTTATATATATATTGGGTGTGTGAGTTCCAATCATTCACTAATCGCATTGATAAGCATGTTTAATTACTATTTTTGTCATCTTTTGCATGTGTAGGACGCATGAGTATTAAGCTTAGGCCCTCCTAGATATTAGGATTTAATGAGTTTTATTTTATTACATTTCCCTTATATTACCCTAAGGATTAGTCATTAATTTGAATTTAAGCCTACTTAATATAGCGACATTCTAAGGATAATAATTAAAGACCTATCTAGTGAACTTAGAAAAATTCTAGGAGCTATGATAGATTCTTGATTGACATGAAATTTTGAACACAAACTTAGTCACATCCTAAACCTTCCAAAATTTTCTAAGATTTTTTAGAAGCCTTCAAACTCCCTTAATCAATAAAATCTAATTTAACCCTTAATTAAGCCCCAATAATTTCAAAAAATTATAATAAATTTATATTAAATCATAAAATTACCCATATTATATCAAACTCTTCAAATTTTAATCTTTAATCTCAAAAAATTAAAATCCCTTTAATTGAACTTTAATATGAACCTTAAATTAACTTTAATTAAAAATTGCTTTTTTAATTAGATTAAATAATAAAAATTATTAAAAATTCTTAATTTTTTCCAAACACTTAAGAACATCTCTTTAGGTTATTTCTGACCTTTGGGGGTGATTCCAAGCAATTTGAAGCTGGTTTGAATCAGAACTCCTAAAATATCCCATTTATTAAATAATTTCAATAATTCATTAATTGCGCCAACTATAATAATTCATAACTAATTTCAAAAAATTCCAAATTGGAAAAACTAAAAGGCATTCAAATTTAATTAAAATTTAGTATTTATTAAAAATATTAAGTTTCCAAAAACTAATCTAAATTAAAAAGTCAATTCTTCGGTCAACCATAGTTCATTAATGAGGGCACAAAATTTCTAAAATTTATAACTTTGCATAGAAAACTCCAAATCCAACAAACTCATAGTCCATATTCTCCCCTTAAGGCCTAATATTTATTTAAAATGCTACAACCCCTAAACCTAGCATATTTCTAATAGTGACCTTTTGGACCCCCTTAGCTTAATAAATAAGAGGGCCCGAGACCTTCAGAAATCCATTAAGGCAACTTAAACTTTAAAGATCACTATCCTAAGCATTAAAATGGATCCATAGACTAAGTCAACTAAAATCAAACCCTAATTCATTAATATTTAAACTTTAATCAAAATTTTTCCTTTTGATCTCCAACAAACCTGAACACGAAACAACTTGGACTAACTACCTGACATAGGACTATCCAAAGCCACAAAAACCTACTACACACACATAGACTTGCTAGGGTACCACTTCTAGCTCTAGGATTAGGGCCGATGTGGCTCATATAATTGATTGATTTTATTTGCTTTGATATGTTGTGATTGATATGATGGTTATTTCATTATTATGTCTTCTTTATTTAGCTAATTATGTGATTTGTGCGATAGATCGCCCATGGGTTAGGGGCGCCTTTAATACTGACGTTGTCCTCTATAGGTGGTTGTTCTCATACAGCGCTAATAAGAAGGAGGCAAAAATTGTTAAGCTTTAAAACTAATGACATTTTCTGTATGTACTTCAGAAATTACTAAAGCCTTTTGGAGGGCAAACCTTACGAAGCCCAAAGGAGATGATCTAAAAGATGATCCAGAGGAGGACAATCCACTTGAAGATGAAGACTTCAAGATGAAATGTCTTGCTTTTAAGACTTGCATCATTCAGTATGATTAGAATCCAGGTTATTATTGGTGGAGCTTGGCCACCATTACTTTTCTATAGACCATGGGTTGTACTTATACGATACTTATTGTGAACTTTATTTCTTTACTTTACTCTGGTGATTAATATTAATGTGTTTACTTCATGTGCATAGTGAAAAATTGCATATTTTATCTAGGTTTCCTTCTTGCATGTATGTGGCCTGACTTTTCACTAGACTCTTTAAGGACTAAAAACCTTTCTACTCATAACAAAAATATAATATTTTAGGAATTAAATAATAGAAAAATCTAGTGATCTAAGGAATAGTCCAAGACCAATTAGAAAATTCTCTTGACGTCAGCCTCACTTCAAATAACTGATCTACCCACCCATCTTACATAAGAACCAGACATCCTGGATTTTATGCGCTTAGGTGGTATTTAGATTTCCTTTTTAGGTAGGATATAAGTCCATATGTATTAGCTAGGATACAGGTGTTAATATTGAGTGTAGAACACTAAACCCACTCTAGATTCAGGGTTCAAGGCTATACATTTTGTGTCTCATAGTAGGCTTCATCGGTAGGTAAGTTCCCTTTTCTTTAGGGATTATAAATTTTGCTTATCTACGTCACATGGATGACGCCGCCTCCATTCTTTTCATCTACATCCTTTGAGTGTGTCGTTTCCCTTTTCTCCACTTTTTTCTCAGTGCCTTAATTCCTCTGTATGTTGGTATGAATCATGCATGTTGACTAAGCCCACTTGAACCCTTTCTTACCCTTTGAGTAGGATTTCCTAGTCTCCTCTTTGTGTCAATCCCCCCTTTAGAAAGTATGATGTCAGATTCTTAATCAAGAGTATTCTAAAGCTTCGGCTTGAGATGTAATTAACCTCGGGAGCTTGCGCCCATGAAAAATAAAATTTCACCATAACATAAACCCCACTCGAGCTAATATATTGGTTGGAAAAAACCCATTATTTCGATCAGGTCATGCATATTATTACCCATCGGGATGCATTGACGAGAGCCACTATCCTCAATGGTTAATCATATGTGTGATCTAATCTGCCCTTCCATTGGTCTGCTTGCAAAGTGCATGGAGGCCTACGATTGTCTCGTCCCTCGGGATGGTATGGTTGTATACCCTTTGCACTCTGTCCCTTGCTAAGCGGATCCCTTTCAGAGGTCCACACTCATTAGAGCTCACAAGTGAAAGCATCCATGGTTTGTATCTATGTGTGTTCTCCCCATCTTTTGTTCATAGGAGCTCCCCATGCGATGGCATTGACGGGAAACCTCCACAGGACCAATAGCATTTGAAGAAGATGCAAAAGTCATGCATGAGCTCACAGGGAGAAATATTGACTAGCCCAATGATGACCTATATTAATTCAAACATGATCCCTTAATAGAGTTGACAGTATGCTAGAAGATGTAAATAACAAAATTTAGATGTTATATATATATGAATTCTCATATTTTGAATGTTATGTATGTAAATCCCCCTTCACCATGAAACTTATATATTTATTCTTTAGAAAATCAAAACACCATAATTAAAGCTTTAACTTCATAGCTGTTATCATTCCTTATTAGCTAAATAAATTTGTTCACCAAATAAACAAGTTGACTACTATGTTACGTAATGACAAATTTAGGTAAGTTTACCACAAATCTAGTTAGATGTGTTTCGATATTTTATGAATTATCTCATTTCTGGGAAAATCCTATCTAATGCTTATGATAAGATCTGAAAATTTATATTGAGAAGATTTTATATGATTTATTAACTAAAAAAAAACTCGAAATACCCATTTTTTCTTGTTGTCTTCATGATTTTGTGTTAGGCTTTGTTTGGGGCAGTTTCGTAACTATTTTCTTAAGCAGCTTTCTAGTAGATAATTTTCTAGTTCAAAAACTTTTGTACTAAAAAGTTGCTTTAGAAACAATAAGCAAGTTATCCCAAACAAAACCTTAGACACTTCTTAATTTACTTATACTACAACTTTTCATAATGAGAATGACTAATACTTCCAACATTTATAAGCTCCAAATCAGAAATCTATTAAGGAAGTTCTTGCAAAGGGTTGAGCCATCACTCCTCTCTTTCTAGTTATTCATAGTTATCGAAATTTTATATTTGAATCATCCTTTTTAGAGGAATATTTATGGAATTGAAGTTGGATCATTCTTAAGGAAGATTCTCTTTCAGCTCTCCTTTGTTTATTTACGGTGGAAAACATATTTTTAAAACACTTGGGTTTTGTGATTTAATCATGAAAAAGTTTTGGCACTCAATTCACATTCTTTTATTGATCGTTGATAAGTGACCTAAAAAATTCATTCAATCAAGTATGAATCTCAATGAAAATTTTGAACTAGAAACTTCAAGAATTAATTCAAGATTATTCGAACTTCAATTTCTATAAATTTATAGTAAAACTATACACCTCAACCAAATGTAATTCTAACCGAGTCCAAATGAACCCAAATGAAGTATTTGTGATGGTAATTCTAACAGAGTCCAAATGAACCCAAATGAAGTATTTGTGATGTTAATTAAAGGACCTAAGAATCTTCAAATCGTGAATGCTTATAAGCAATTCAAGTGTCTCAATGAGATAAACCCAATGAGCCCAAGGCCACTAAATTATTATTATTAAAATAATTAAATATTATAAGAATTATCTATGATAAAGGAAATCAATATAGACCATCCAAAAGGATGCTTTGGAGATTTGACTAAAAATTTCAAAATTTCACTTAAAAAGGCTTAGGGCCTTAACTTGAATCTGAAAAGAGCTTGGAAAATATGAAAAGTTGTATAGCTCTACCTGACATTTAATGCCAATGACCCAATGATCGCCATCATCCAACCCATTACTGACTATGATATTCAAACTATATATATCACTGGACCACCAGACCACCATTATCCAACCGCAAATGCTCAAGCATAATATCTTAACAATCATCACATGACTAAATTTCTTCAAATCACTATTATCTGACTACCATAGTCCAATTGTTGTCTACCACTGACTTTGTCAACAATAACATTAATATAGGCCAATATATGTGAGGTTGATGCACACCATTGGTATCAATGCCTATGTTCGTTGGTTTCATTACATGTTCTCTCTAATAATATCGATACACACAATGTCTTGTAAGACTAATGCACGATATCGAATACACCATCATGTATGTTGTTGATGCATGTCATCACTCATATGGTTGATGCACACTATCGATACCAAGCCTTCTATCACTTAAAATTAAACATCAATGCATTTCATCATCAATAAAACTAATGTGTGTTGTTGACACTAATTTCAATTCTTAATGATAACACCAAGATTGTATTATAATTATTTATTTTTTATTTTCTCTCTTCAAAGGAAAATTATTGAATAGACTATAAGAGGCCACTTAAAATAAATCTAATTATCTAATGCCCAATAAACAATAAGTCTAGTATTCTTATTGATTGGGGGGTGGTAAAAACAAACAATTGAGATTGAATTTACATTTTTCTTCTTTTGTCGTCTAATATACAGATTAACACATCTTCAAAATATTTTTTTAGAAAAATATTTTTAGCGCCACAAATTCCCAATAAAAAAATTTTGCAAATAAAAAATGATAGCGTAAAACACACCCCAAGAAAAAAAATATAAATAAATTAATAAGCTTGTTGAACTGTAATTAAACTTTTCCTCTTTTTACCAATCGCATAAAAAATATTTCCTCAACTTAGTAATTTGTCCGTTCAGTATATCTTAAGACTTCATTTGGAATGACTTTTTTTACTTATTTTTAATGCAGCTTTTTAGTAAAAAAATTTTAATTTTTGTGCTAACAAGCTGCTTTAAGAAGCATTAAGAAAGCTATTTCAATTGAAACCTAAATTTTGATTGTTTTGGCCTTTATTAATTGCTTGTTAGACAATGTGAAAATTTTTGTATACTACAAAATAAAACATTTTTTATTATGAAAATCACGCGTCAAAACCTGAAAGCCTAAAATAGGAAATTTTAATTTTCACACCAAAGAATAAATCATCAGTCAAGTTTGCACGTTTAAGACCAAGTCTGAATAAGCAATTTATTTGAACTCACCCATTATTTTATTAAAGGGATAATTTTGTTTTTGATGGGTCATGTGATGATGTACAAGTTTCTTTTCGATCATGTTTTCATCCGATATTTAAATCTATAAAAAAAAGCTAAAATATAAATTTGAGATCTTTGGCAAACACTCGTTAAGGTTAGCGGGTCTCAGCTAACTCAGTGGCGACCTATAAATGTCATTGAACACTTGCTAATCTATATATCAAAGTTTTTATTATCCGTAGACCTACATAGACCTACCACTCGCTGCCTCATCTTTGAACACACTTTCCAAGAACACCTACCAACAACTCTTTGAATTCTTGATCACATTAAAAAATAAAAATAAAAACTATAAATGTTGATTATTACTCTACTTACCTAGTATACCTAATACACCCATTTAAAATTTTGAAATTCCAATCATTTAAATCCATTTATAACCCTCCCTGTCACACTTGGTTCTCATTTATTCTCTTCATCTCCTACTCTTCCCCTTCTTCCATTTCATGAATAAGCTTTTGGCTAGGTGAAAAAGAGGCTCACATTCATACTTAAGGAAGAAGCTTTGGAACTCATACTAGGTAAGTATGATTATGTGATATCATCTAAAAATTTTAATCGTGCCCTCTTCTATGTAATTTACTATGTTATTTTCTATAAGTATTTCAATTCTAATGGTATGATATTCTCCATAATGTGACATTTGCACCTTCAAAATCCTTTATATCAACAATGAACGAATAATCTTAACCCAAGCCACTTGATTGAGTTTATCTTAACATCTAAGTATTTTGATTTAGATCTTAGTGTTTACCCTGCAGATCATCATCGATGGTGATTCTCATACACTAATTTTTAGCATATATCATGCAATAATGAGATTATTGCCCCCCTAGGTCTGTATCATATTCTACATCTATATTTGGATGACTTGCAAAGATTTCATGGGTCATGCATGGGCTTGACACCTACTAGGATTGGATGGAGTAATGGTATGGTGAAGACCAGCTATTATTAGATATATTATCATATAAAGATGATGATAATGATTGATGTTTGTATTATTATTTACAATCACAAGTAATATTTGCTACATTGACTTATTATTTTTCTACTAAATTGTTTATATCCCCATTTTGTTACTCAATATTACAAAATTCTTATTACATACTGGTAACAACCATATGTCTTTTAAGAACTTGATTAGGATCATCAAGGAGATGCAATCAAACATAAAAAATATTAAAAAAGGATAGCTGAATTTCTTTTCATGTATTAAATAAAATTTTTGTTAAAGTTTGATGAATAATAATATTTGAAACTAAAATCCTTCCAACCTTTAAAAATATATTTTATGAAGTAAATAAAGAGGAAAGTTGAAAGAAAATCTTGATAGGAGACCAAGGCACTCCAACAATTCTAGAAAACCCTACACTCACATATCAAGGTATGCATGCATACAACAAAAATTCTTCAAGAAAGAAAAAACCTTGGTGAATCTATGGAACCAACAGTGAATCTATGGAACCATATGCTTTTACCCTTCCATCATTCAATTAAGAGCAAATAAAAATGCTAAAAATGTATTCATCAATCTTTATAAAAAATGTAGCAACATCACATTACTAGTAGATCAACTACTCAAAAAGATATGATCATAAATGCCTTTAAGTCAAAAAGATAAGATCTAATCATGAATTATGGACTCAATAAATTTTAATAACATGATTAAAGATACCTTGCTATTTTATACAATATATCCATTTCTAAGGATGCTCTATAAGGATTCATTATCTCCTATCACAAGTATTAGAAGAATTAAAATCTCATATTTTATATCCATAAACTCAATTTTATTAGTTTTTAAAGTTTACTATAAGATCATATTTATATCTAAAATTAGGAGAGATATGAATTATGCTACTAAATTTTTACCACACACTATGAATTTTAGGATTCAATCTTGGGGAGGATAATTAGCAATGCTAAGGAGAATGCTAGACTCTACCTCATTGATGCTGAAGAAAATCCTATGTCATAAATAAAATATGCTTAGTTTGTATCTTATCCTAACGATAGTGCAATTATGTTGTAACCTAATTTTTGATCATCTGAGCTTTATGCATCTCAATAAATTGTTCTCATCTTCTTTCTAGAGTAAAAAATCTTTAATTATTTTAATATGACACCACTCTACTATCAAAACACACTAGAAACACCTATTTGAGCTATTGCCATAAACCCTTTTAACCTCTCTTTATCAATCATTGTGATATTTAACAACCCTATTATGTAACTAATATCTATATGGCTGAGTGATTTACATCCTTTATAGATGATAACATTAGAGCTCAATAAATTATTTTAATGAAAGATAAATCTAAGACTTGCAACATTATTACAAAATTGCAGCTTTGTACAAACCCAATTCAAACTAAAATCCAAGCCTTAGGATTGATAATTGAAAAGAATATTTTTCTCTAATTAATGGGGATTACCTTCTTCATCAAGAAATTATACGATAAAAATTTAAATAAAAAATATACTGACCCAAGCCATTGATCATTCACAATTCAACGACCTAACTTCCAAGTTATGATAATCAACATATATTCCAAACTTGTGGGTGAGTGTATAAATTTGGGATCTCCCTATAGACATTCAATATGATTAAATTAATCATAGGAATATTATCATCCACCTCTACAATTTGTCAATATACTTTTTTATTATCATTAATTATATAATATCTTATTTATTAATTTAGAACTAATAATTACTTATTTAGTGCAACTTATATAGTATTGAATAAAAAATAAGATTCAAAGTGCTTTCTTTGATTTCTAACACTAACCATTAAACATTTGTAATGTTTACAAACCCTTAACAATTCATCAATGCCCGAAAAGTTGCTAAAGCATGCATTGTTATGGTGCATTTTGATGCTTTAACCCAAAGATATAAATGAGTAAGGCAAATCAATTATATATTTCTAGTCTCTAAACTCAACACCATATTCATCTAGCTTCTATGCATCTTTACAAGAATAGTAGGCTAATTTATTATAATTATACATTTGGAGTACAATATTTATAACCTTTCCATATCATTTCTTATAATAAAGGTTGGAACCAAAAAGCCAACCCATTCATCTTCTAAAGAAGTAGTAAGTAACCTATAGTACTCCATTTATCTCATATCTAATATTTATTGGTCACTCTCTCATGCATGTGACCATGCATCCATCATGACATGAACATGATTCTCACATGTGCATGCAATGGGGAATAATGGGACATAATTCAACATTTTATATGTCTTACTAGGGTTTTGCATATGTATGATTCATCTAATGATGTGATGAGGCCACAACAATCTTGCAATCTGTTGATTTTGGCTTTGCATCTTGCATTAATTCTGTATGTGGATTTTGCAACATCTCCCACATCACCAATATATCATTATATTCACATGTTTGAATGGCATCATGAAGTTGTAGCATTCCATCTCCTGCAATAAATAAATAAATCAATAATCAATAAAATTGTTTGATGATAATTTTAAATTATAATTTTATAAATAAAATTTTGCTATCATCATCATAACATCTAGAATACTAGGGAAAAATTTTAAAAATAACTAAATTGTTTATTTAAACATTAAATTATTAATTAAATAATATTAAATCAATAATAAAATTATATTAATAACATAAATAGCTAAATAATATTATTATTTAAATAATATTGAATCAGACCCTTAATTACTACCTTGCCACTCACTATTGATTGAACAATGAAAAAGCTTTCAAGCCCACAGGCTTAAAAGCCAATGATATTGTGTTCAAACATGAGAACATGTAATAGCTTAGCAATATTTTAATGGAGAGATATTTTCTTTATTTTTTTTATAAACATGGATTATAGTGGTTTTTTTTGCAAACCAAGCCAATTAATTATATATAATTTTACATAAACATGGATTATAGTGTTTTATGCTCACACACTTAAGGGCATATTAATAATTTTAAAATTGATAATGCAATCCATTTTTATTCCACTTTTGAAGTAAGGAAAATTATTTTTTTTTCAAGTAGTTTTTGGCAAATAAGGCCAAGGTATAAAGATATTTTAATCAGTTAAAAAAAACCTAATAAAGCACCAGTATGACAAATAGAAAAATAATGGAGAAATTACATATATTAAATTTAAATTATTTATAAAATTATCACTCATATTTTTAAAAATAAAATAATATGTTAAAATATTCAAAATAAAAATATTTGGTTAAAAAAATAATTTGAAAATAAGACCAACTATTACATATATTAAGCAAAAAATATATATTTTTTGTACATTTTATTAAATTTATTTTAAGATTAATATTATAAATATGAAAATTTTATATTATACTAATCTTAAAACAAATTCTATGATTATTAAGCTCATGCCAATATAATTTGTATTAGAATATTTTAAAATTATTTTTTTATTGCTCCCAAACTCATAATGCTAAACTGATTAAAGCAAAAAATAAATTTCATAGAAAGAATTTGTTTTTACATATACAGTGAAGGCTAATTTTTATTTGCTCCCAAGAAAAATTTTTATTTACATAATAAATACAAGGATATTGAAAATGAATAAGTAAAGTCTATATTGGCATGCTATACGATCGAATTATTAAAATTAAAAATATTTTAGAGTAAAAATTAATTATTTTATATCACTCTTCAATATTTGAGATGTATTATAAAACTATTTATTCAAATAATATGAGGGTAAATTGGTATTTTTCATTATTTTACTATAATTTTGATTATTTTTCAGTGATGGCAGTTTGCTCATAATATTTGTGTGGGTGAAATTAATATTTTATTTATCTAAGAACCCAACACTAAATAAAAATCATTAAAAAAGTCGAAAATGCCTAATTTTTTATTGGCTTAGATATTATTCATTAATATTAAAAACTTTAATCATATACATAGAAAAAAAGGATAATTTTTTATTTTTAAATATAGAGGTTTTATTTAAATTTTGTTAAGTAAAATAAAAAAATTTATGTTTTTGAAAGGAAAAAAATATAATTTTAATATTGAATTAATAAAAAATGGATGTATTTGGGGTCTTTGTAATATGTAGGGGAGGCTAATCATAATTATGACAAAAAAAAAAATCTTTTGCCTGCAGCTAATCTTCGCTGTGCCACCACCGCGCAAGTTAACCGCCGGCAGCCAAGCGCAGAGGAGCGCACGACAGCTGATAAATAAGAGAAAATGATAAGGAGGTAGACATACCTTCTTGCTTCGGTTTCTCTGTATCTGCCACGGATACGGTGTTCTTCTTTAGCATCCTCCGCCACCACTCCATCTCCCCGTGATTCGCCTGCGGAGAACTGGACTCAAGAACCAAAGCTCCTTTTCTTCTTACGCTGGTCTCGACTCACCGCCAACCCTGCTCCAATCAGCTGTGCAAAGTTGAAAGTGGGTAGCCGGTCGCTTAAAATGCTCCGCACGCCACAGACTTGCACCCACGGGATTCCACTTCGGCCTCCTTCCTCTTGATTTCCTTCACCATCAACTCACTGGACCATGAGAGCTACCCGGCCTACCCCTCCGTATATAATTTCTTCGCTGAAAACTTACATAAAAGCCCCTAAAACTTTTTAATTTATGAAATGGTTGCTACCTTTTCATTAAACAATTAGTGAAGTTGCGTGTGTAAGATGAAGAGCTTATTCAAAGCTCTTTCCAACGTCACAATCGTCGTTCTAAATGATGAAATAAAAAATATATATACGTATATTTAATTATTTATAGAAAAAAATGAAAATTAAAAAATATTTTAATAAATTTTTCAAGATAAATAATATAATAATTGCTACGCTCTTCAAGTAAATAATTTGAGATTTTTTTAAAGTCTAATTTCCATTAGAAAGTGATATATATTAAATATATAAATATATATATATATATATTATATATATATATATATACTGTAATTCTATTTATTACTCCACTAGTTAAATAATGATGTGTTAAGAGTTTAAATATAGATTTTTTTTAAAATATAATATTTCTCAAAAAAAAAAAAAGTTAGACCAATGAGCTTTGTTTTTTTACTAGGCTACACGATAATTTTGTAATTAGTCAACCGGCATGAGCATAATTAGTCTTAGTTTTTAAAGGGGACAAATTTATAAAAAATAAAAATATAAAAGTCAAAACTCAAAACAAATTATTATATTGCATTAATATTATTAAAAAAATACAAGCATTGCATTTGTAATAATATTATGTTACAATTTTATTTGGAATCAAGTTAAATACTTATATTCTCAATTATGTGATACTAAACATTCATTAAGCCAATCATGTCTATATTACTGTGTAATCGATGCTAACAATTCATTTTGTATAAGTATTTTCACTATAGAAGGGGCAACTAACAAAGAAAATATAAGATAATAAGCCTATAAACAAATGATACACAACATCTTTCTTAACATCTTCTTAATAAATTATTTTACAAGATCAACAGTGCTACCAAAGATAAGAACTCATCGCTTGTATATTTTTCATTGAATTTATTTTATATTAATAGATTATAAAAGTCTGATAAGTAATTAGAGAGATAATAGACAATTCATTTACATTTAAGCCTTGGGGAGTTCATTATGATCTTAGATAAGCCCATTCTCCT